ATGTATATGTATATGTGTATGTATATGTGTATGTATATGTGTATGTATATATATATGTATATATGTATATATGTATGTGTATATATATATATATATATATATATATATATATATATATATAAGAAATTAATATTTTTATTCAGTAGTGATTCATTAAATTGATTAAAAGTGACATTTATAATGTTACAAAAGATTTCTATTTTAAATAAATGCTGTTCTGTTGAACTTGATGTTCATCAATAAATTCTGAAAAAAGTATCACCGTTTCCACAAAAATATGCAGATTTCTGAAGGATCATGTGACATTGAAGCAAGGTTATTATAGTTAACTAATACAAAAAAATAAAAACATTAACTGGAATAAAATAAAATATAAAAAACTTTTATAATAAACTTTTATAAAATACATAAAAAACTTTTTTTTATTTCAACCACTTGCCAGGGCAACATTTCTCATTTAATTTGGTTTAACTAAAATAACTAAAACTAAAACAGAAAATTATTAATAATAAAAAAAAACTATTAAACTAAAAAAAAAAGATTCAAAACTATTAACTATATAAAAAAAAAACTACTACAAATAACAAAAAAACACAACAAAAAATACTACAACTTTAACCAAAATTAATAAATTCAAAATGAAAACAAACTAAATAAAAATTTAAATAAAAACTATAATAGCACTGTGACTGAAGACTGGCATAATGGCTGCAGAAAATTCAGCTTTGCCACCACAGGAATACATTCAATTTTAAGACAGGGTTTCTGCAGGATTTTTAAGCTCGAATTTAAGACTTTTTAAGACCTTTTTTAAGACCTGCACAAATAAAATTAATACTATATGAGCGGGGTAGGGCAATGTCTATAGTACCATATTAAACTGTAAAATTACTGGTTTTATAAAATGATACACCTCACATTTCAGCCTTTAAACCATTTTTAATAAAATGGATGAGTAAAAAGTATTAATTATTATATTATTTTAAACAATGATTATCAATAAATTATTATATTAATGAAATAACACAAATACATTTTACTGTTTCGATTTTTATAATGCATTATCTTCTTATCGATCCACCAGTTTACATTTACAGCTCTGCGTGTTTGCAGGGTAAAAGCATGGGTCGATTTTCATATTGGTCTGAACAAAAACAACCCCAATACTGTGTTCCTGCAGTACCGGAGGCTGCCGTTTCAGGACCGCAGTTCTACTAGAATGGCATTTCTACTTGGACCCTTTTTTTTTTTTTTTTTTGTGACAGCCCCCTC